ATTGTTTGATTTTTAAAGTTGGGTTTTGAAAGACAACAGATACAAAAGTAGAGGTAAAATGATAAACGGGTATCAAAAAAATGAATATGGACATATATAAATTATAGATACATAATGCATAGATATATACATATATATTTACAGAATAAATAATACCCACACACACAAAATGGAGATTGATCAAAGCCAAAACAGCTCTTTGAAAGTAATAATTTCTGGTAAGACTGATCAAAAAATAGAGAAAAGGCACCAATAAACAACATTACAAACAAAACAGGGACATAAGTGTAGCAGATCTTAGGTAAAATACAGTGGCCAACTTTATGCTAACAAAATTGAAAACTTGGTAAAAATGGACAAATTTCTAGAAAAATATAACTTGCTGAGACTCAATTAAGAAGAAATTCAAATCTAACTGTCCATAACCATTAAAAGAAGAAAGTCCTCCAACAAGAAAACACTAAATCCACATGGTTTTGCAAGTAATTTCCCATACTTACACTATAGCAAGCATTTAAGAAACAAATTATTACAGTCTTACCCAAACTCTTTCAGAACAGAAAATGAGGCTACACTCCCATTAAGGAGTGGGAGGTGGTCTCTGCCAGGGAGGGAAAATACAGAAAGATGACTGTGGAACAGCACTTGCCCCAGTGGTCCACTTTGACCTCTTTACACAAAGGGCAGTGTTTACATCTCAGCCCTCTTGACACCTTTAAACATCAACTTCGACTCTCTCCTGAACAAAGTAGCAGCAGGGCTCCCTCAACCTAAATCCCGAATGGAAACAGCCAAGTTTAGTTCCTGAGGACTGCTATATGCTGGTCCACCTCAGAGAAGTAGTGGACAAGATCAACTAAGGACTGATCAGAGCACGGAGTCATCCCTGGCTTTTAACACCACAGCTGACATCACGCATGGGCCAAGGCAAATATCTCAGTCTTGATCAGAATTTTCTCTGCCCCCACACAATTTTTTTTTTCTTTTTACAAACCCAGACACTGATTTGGCAGAAAGACCCAGCAGACAGGGCAACCTCTTATTTAACAGTCATAAAACAGACAGACTCCTTTTAACTATTCCTCAATGAGAACAGCTTGTAGATAACTGCATGAGTAACCTCTTGCCACAGCAAAGAGGAATAAGTGGCCCTCTGTGTCCTGACCACGTAGCCCTCTGGTCCTCCTCCAGAAGTGGCCCGACAGAATAACCACTGAACCTGTTAGTCCACAAATTAAGCCCTATGCAAAATTAGTGAAATTAGCATTTGTGTCAATTGCACTGGGCCATCCAGAGGGATGTAATTAAGCAATACATAGTTCTATTTCAACTGTCAACAGTGTAATTCAATTACAGTGTTATTTGCAGGCAGAATCAGGGACTAATCAGTAGGAAGACTAGAGCAAAGATTAACATTCTACTGGAAGCTTTAACGATGGTCTTTTGTATTAGAAACAAATCATTATTGATATCAGTTCTGGGATCGTTAAAAGCCACCTCTTCCCAAATTTCTGATATAACAATCTGGGTTTCCAATCAATTACAGTCACACCTAGGATACACCCATTCAGATTTCAAGAAGAATTCAGCTTTACAAGGAGTTTCATTTATTTATTT